GATGATGGATGGATGATGGATAGAAGGATAGATGATGGATGGATGGATGGATGGATGATGGATGATGGATAGAAGGATAGATGATGGATAGATGATGGATGGATGGATGATGGATAGAAGGATAGATGATGGATGGATGGATGATGGATAGAAGGATAGATGATGGATGGATGGATGATGGATAGAAGGATAGATGATGGATGGATGGATGGATGGATGGATGGATGGATGGACGGATGGATGGATGGATGGATGGATGGATGCATGGATGGATGGATGGATGGATGGATGGACGGACGGACGGACGGACGGACGGACGGACGGACGGATGGATGAAGAATGTTTTGCTCAACCATCAGCTATAGGAAGTGTGATTCAGTGAATTTAATTAGGTTTCTGTTGATTTGTTTACATTTGTGTCCTCTCTCTTCAGTCTTACTTTACTCTTAAAATAAAATCAAACTAAGGTTTATGTTTCTTCAGTATAAAATGTTCCACCTTATGTTGAGACCATTTCAAAACAAAATCACCATTTTATTGTTTATCTGAGGTCATAACCTGAATTGAGGTAAATACTTGCCCTTTGGGTCTCTGCGTTTTCACTCTTGCTGTTTTGTAAGTGTTCACATATTCATCATTTGACCCAGCTGAAAGGGGAAGTCAGGCGTCTCTTAAAGAGGAGGTTTGACTGCCCCTTGAGCTTTCTGTTGATGAATGAACAGAGTCACTGAGCAGCATTATGAGGTGCTAACGATAAAAAATGACTTCTATCCTGCGAACGAAATGTTCTCATTGTATCTGTTTAAGGATAACAGACCTGTGGGCAAACTCTGTTGCCATGCATGTTCGTTCTGACATTCAACACATTAATATCCTTCATTGCTCACACCACAGCAAAATTTAACAACATTTAGTGAATCATCGACAACTGGGATTATTTCATCTTTTTGCTTCCTTTATCATGAGTTAAAGGAGCAGGAGCCAAATCTGCTGAATCAGAGCTTTTTAGTTTCTTAGTAAAAATGGCAAACTGTTTTCTACTTTTAGACACACGAAGCTCTGTTTGTGACAGTATTTGAGCCTGATTTTAGCAGTCTGTTTTAAATCAGGTGAAGTTTCACCTCTTGTTCAATCCTTTCTTTTTTTCTTCTTCTTCTTCCAGGGCGACTATGAGCGTCAATCTCGGGATGAAATCCCCCAGGTTGCAGGTGGCGACACCTACCTTCGAGGGCCTCTTAAGCTACCTCAAAGCCATGCCAAACCACCTGGCTACCCCCCAGCGCACCTGCCGTACCCCCCTATCTTTCACCATTACAAGCCCTCGCCCTACCATCATCTGCCCTCCCAGCCGAGCCCACCATACACCCCTCAGGTACAAGATGCTCATGTATATTCACAGAAATCACTTTATCATATAAATATACAAATTTGAATGACCAGTCAAGGCTAAATGCTTTGATGTTTTTCATTTGAATTTTTCCTTAATTTTCCCTTGTGACTGTTTTTATCCAGGGGGCCTACTCACAGCCGTCATCACCTTACATCCCCCCGGGGGCTTACCCTCCGCCTTCATGGGGGTCGAGCTCTGACACTCAGCCTTCCAGAGTCTCCCACGAGCAGTTCAGAGCCGCACTCCAGCTGGTGGTCAACCCAGGTGGGAAATATAGGTTAGACATGTCAAGGCGGCACTGCGGCGCTCTTGGCGTAGCACTAAAGCGGCGATTACGGTTGTGTTTGCCACCAGGGGACCCCCGGGAATACCTGGACAACTTCATTAAGATCGGCGAGGGCTCCACGGGAATCGTGTGCATCGCCAGCGAGAAGCACAGCGGCAAGCAGGTGGCGGTGAAGAAGATGGACCTGAGAAAGCAGCAGAGGAGGGAGCTGCTCTTCAATGAGGTGAGAGGGATCAGCTTAAAGCTTTTAACTCCCCATCGTAGAAAATGATCAACACTTTTGTTGTTTTGTCGTTTTTTGTTTTCGGCTGCTGTAAATTAGCTGTATGATTCTTGTGCAGCTACCGTTTGTCACAGATTGTTGACAGCTTAAACAAGCTGTCTTTGGTTTAAATAGCGTCATTAAACATTATGTGGAATACATACAAATAAGCCTTGCTAGGAAATTAATGAAATAAAAACAAAACCCAAGTTCAATTTGCCTCTGTTTCAGTGACATATAGTCATGGCAGTTAAACTGCTTACCCATTTCTGCGTCTGTAATTGCATTTATTTGCTAAATTTAACAAGTGTTCCCTCTGAAAGCTGTAGGCAAGACATTTATTCTGAGCTGCGTGTGCGGTGGGCCTGCAGTGGAAATATTAGCTACATATCATTTGCCTTTGAACTGACAGGAAGTCAATTTGCAGATATTTTTAAGATGTTTTATGACGGCGGCCTGGTTCTAATTTGAGTGTGTTTTTCGTGGCGCTTCCACGTATGTGAGTACATGTGTGCAGAGAGCACAGCTGTACAGCAGTGGGTGTTCACTCAGGAACCAATCTGCTTCATGTAATCCTATTAATGTCTGCATGTAATCCTTGTGTTTAAGCCTCCATAACATGCACACATCAGACAAGAGGGATTTAAATGAATACAATTAAATTAACAGGTGCATTTGTGAAATTACTAAACTAATAGAAGACTTAATTTGTGACTTTGTTCATAAAAAGTAATACATTTTCCAATTTAAAATGAAAGTTTTGTTTTATATTTAGGTTAAAGATTGAGTTTTATACATTAACTACATGTATAGAAAGATATTTCAGTGTAATTTTCTGCAAAATTCTAATTTCATCGTGACCTTTAGGCCAACACTTGCTTCTCTGTCACGTGCTAAAAGTTTTTCTTGTCTTTTTTATCAGGTGGTGATCATGAGGGATTATCATCATGAAAACGTTGTGGACATGTATAACAGTTACTTGGTGGGAGACGAGCTATGGGTGGTCATGGAGTTCCTGGAGGGAGGGGCGCTCACGGACATCGTGACTCACACAAGGTAAGAAACATTTTCTATACGTATATAAAACATGTTATTTGTAATTCATCGCGGCTTCTTCAGGGTTCTTTTGCACCACGCACTGTTATAAAAAGCAACAACCCTAACCAGCAACATAACTAAGTAATAACTCAAGAAACCAACCCTAACTAGAGGTTGTTATCAAAAAGGAAAGTCTTCAGTCTAATCTTAAAAGTAGACAAGAGTGTCAGCCTCACGGACAGAAACTGGAAGTTAATTCCACAAGAGAGGAGCTTGAGAACTGAAAGCTCTGCCTCCCATTCTACTTTTAGAAACTCGAGGAACCACAAGTAAACCTGCAGTCTGAGAGCCAATATGGCACAATAAGACTTTTAATATAAGATGAAGTTTGGTTGTTAAGAACTTGTATGTTAGAAGTAAGCTAACCACTGGAACGGTTTTAATCAAACTCTCAAAAGTTAATTATTAGATGAATATCTACCATTAAAATGAATGTCACGGCTAAACATTAGCCAACACAAAAATATATCTTACTCTGTTTACTGATTTGGAGTTACAGTTAGTTGTGTTCACTAAAAGTCCTCCCCAGTGCATACTTACAGATTGCTAACTGATCAAACATCTTATTTTAAATCCAAATAACTGGATTTTTAGTGTGGATTTATTTTTTGCCTGATTTGCTGGATTGTAATAAAATGTATTTCTAAGAAATAAAAAAGGAAAAAGTTGTTAATAAAGAGTAAGGCATAAGAAATGAATGCTGATGTTTCTTTCTAAACCTTTTTTTCCCCCTTTTTTCTTTAGGTTGTTTGTGTTCCGATAAGAATAAATTGTTATATAACATCTTTTCAAAAAGTATTGACAGAAGTTGACCTTGTCTTGGACCAAGTTTTGAAATTTATCCCGCCCCCATTGT